ACTGTCAGCCTCTAGAACTGTGAGGAAGGACTGTCGTCCTTCAAAGCTGGCTGCCCACTTGGGGCATGTCTGTAACAGCACAGGCTGCTCTCTCTTGGGTTGGGAGTGACTTTAAACTGCCCACTCAGGCCTTTCTGATATGTCACAGGTGGCTCTCTCCGAGTCAGGAGCGGCTCGATGGCAGCGAGTGTTTTGAGGTGACTAAGATCCTGCCCGGCTGTGGGAAGCAGAGGGTGCAGACGATAGCTGTCCACTTTGACTACAAGCAGGCACGTGTACACTCGAATGGTAGCTTCTGGCTGGTCCACTGGAGTGATGAAACCAAGTCCACCTCCAAACTGAGGCCACAAGCAGCCTTCTGGGAGCCCTGGTGGGGGAGTGGTTACAAGTTGGGCTGCTAATCGCAAGGATAGCAGTTCGAAACCACCAGCCACTCTGCAGGAGAAAGATGAGGATTTCTACTCCTATAAAATTACAGACTCAGAACCCCACAGGGGCAGTGCCACCCTCCCCTCTAAGGTCACTATGAAGAGGCATTGACTCCATGGCAGTGAATGGTCTTGGCCAGAGGAGTCCCCTGACAACACTAGCATGTTCTTCCAGAATCATCCCTCTGGCCTAAAGTCCCAGTGCCAGCCCTCTGAGAGGGCAGTCTGGCCATATTTCAGTGGGAGGAGCACTCTAGGGCAAGTCATGTAGTAACATGGTTACAGAGCACCTGCTATGGGCCACCTGGTAAGTTTTAAAACCCCACACATCTTGTGCCCACTGTTTCTTCTTTCTGAGGACCAAACACAAAGTTCAGGTGTTGCTGCCAATCCCTGTGGGGCAGTGGGAGGGGCTAGAGGTGTGTGGGAGTGTGGACTGCCCAACCTGCAGATGGTACCAGCTGGCAAACAGCAGGTGGTTGTGTGCTGGTGGGCCAGGGCAGCCTGTGTGGCCAAAGGCCTATGGTGGGAGTGATGCGGATGAGTTCTAGGGCACCGTCATGAAAGACACTGCCGTCTGCACGACGCCACGAGTCATGCAAGTAGCCCATGGAGAGACCATGGCCGAGGAACTGAGGCCTCCCCCCAAGTGGCCACATGAGGAGTGGCCTTGGGAGCAGTGCCTCCAACCCCAGGCCAGCCCTCACAGGACACAGTCTCTGGAGAAACCAAGCTCAGGTTTTCCTGCCAGGCTGAGAGAGAAGCACAAGGGGATTCACCAGGGGACCTCAGAGAAAGCCTGTGGGCAGGCCTGGAAATGAAGGGGCCACAAGAAGGCATGGGATCCCCTCGAGGTTTCCAGGGATGGCATGTGAGTATGTAAAGTCTGGAGTTGGTGCAGCCCTCCCGAGGCCATGAGGGGGTGAGTCTGAGGAAGCTGCAACAGCGTGGTCGTGAAGCAGGGTGATGGGGAAGCTGGGTCCCTGATGAACCAGCCTGAGGACAGCTGGTGCCGGCAGTAAACTGTCCCCCTTTTTAAAGAAATTATCTAGTGCATTTTGGGGGGAGCAGCAACATTTATTTATATGAAAAAACCAACCAACCCACTGCTATCGATTCTATTCTGACTCATAGCTAGCCTATAGGACAGAGTAGAACTACAGAGTAGATCTACAGAGTGGAACTACTCCCTGGGGTTTCTGAATTATGAATCTTTATGGGAGAGCCTTGTCTTTCTCCCGGAGTGGCTGGGGGGATTGAACTGCTGACCTTTGGGTTAACAGCGCAACACATAACCTACTGTGCCACCAGGCTACTCATCCATTTCAGGCATTCACAATTCTCCCCCAGGGGTTCTAGGAATGTAAAAAATAGCAACGGCTGCAGCCAAGGGAGCCAGGCATACGCAGGGGCTCTGAGGACATCCTTTCAATGGATGTGGCATGGCAAGCGTGTGCCCCAGAGCCGGGGGCCTGCCTCGCTTGTCCGGGTCTCACAAGCCACCCGCCACCTGTGACAGTGTGCAGTCTCCCACTTTTCTACTTTGTGGAGGAATATTTGCCTTTCCTTTCATTGGCAGGGTCCAGCTTTCAGGGTTTTATTGGGTGGGTAGGGCCATTTTCCAGATGAGGAAGCTGAGGCTCAGAGAGGAACGGGGGCTTCCCAAAGGTCACACAGCAGGGCAGCAGCAAAGCTGGGTCTCACCCAGGAGCCTGCCTGCCCCACAGAATAACACTCTCTCGATCCTCTCCCAGGCCAACTGCTGGGGCCTGCTCGCAGGTGGCATGCGTTTCATTTTGTACTTAAAGACGGAAAGGGACGTTGTCAGATACACTTTAAAATTTATAATGTGACACATGGGAGTCAAACCCTGGTCCTGAAAAGAAAATCACGCAGCAGCTGATGTGCACATGCTCTGTCAGGGGCCCCACGGGGCTACTGTGCCTGGCTAGCTTCACCCCAAAGCACCCCGTGGTAGCGGCGTACCTCATTGTAAAAGAAATGAACGGTGTGGTTGTTGAGTTTTAGCGAGAGCGTTTTCAGGAACGATATGTAGTACGCCATTATCTCCTCGTCGGAAAAGTCAAACTTGTGCACGATGATGGAGTTGACGTAGTTGTTGGAGAGTAGATAATCTGGGAGGAGGCAGGAAGAAGGAGAGCGCATGGCACACAGTTAAGCGGCTGCAGAAGGTACAGGGTGAAGACCGTCAGTGACCCTGCTGTGGGGATTCGAGAAGCCAAGCGAGAGCAGCTTCCCCTTCACCTGGAACCATCTATGCCTGGCCACGAGGAAGTTCAAAGGCACGGCCAGAGACAGCGCCCTCGCCCTCTCCCAAGAGACACTGCAACATTTGGTTTCTCTGTGGCAGGCATTCCTCAAAGGGCTGGGGGCCAGGAAGGAGGTCGGCTGGTCAGGAGGGTAAGTGCCTGATGTGCCATGACACAAGGCCCCACTTTGCCAGCCACACTCATGTCACTGCCCCACTGCCACCCAGGGCTGCACAGCCGGGAGCTGCCCGCTCTGGGCCGCATGGCCCTGATGAGCCTTCCCATGTTGCAGACGAGCACAGAGCTCAGCGCTCAAGAGAGGCTGATTCATGGTGCAAGGGCACAGAGAGGTAAGTGGCAAAGGTGTCACCAGTGGAAGTCAACAATAACAGCCGGGGGGTGAGGGCCTGTGGCCATTCCTGGTTCACGCCCCTGAGGGCGCTGAGCTTCGAGGAGTGGTGTGTGCCTGCAGAGTTTGAAAGACTGGACAGTAGGTAGACTCATTTGTCCAGCTGGGCTGGCCAGCACCAGCATGGCTGGCAGAGGAACAGGAAGGGTGTTTGGGTGTACTCTATATGGGGACTGTGGGCCTGGAACCATGAGGCCTGACAGCATGGTTGGGCCTGTGCAGACTCAGACACATCCTCTCCCTGGGGAGGGACTTGGGGACTTATCCTCTGTGGGTTGTGAGAGGACCCTGGTGGCAGTGGCGACACCACCAATTGGGTGGCTGGGGCTGCTGCCCCCCCCCTGCCCCACCCCTGCCCAGGTGGCTGCCCTCCTGAGGGCATCGACCTAGGAACCTATGTCACCTCAGGCTGTAGGGCCTTTGGTCACTGAGGTCACCAAGTCCAGCAGACGCCAGGTGCCTTGGTGGAAGGAAAGGCAACCTGCTATAACGAGAACCTGGAAACCACCTAGAAGCCCTTCTTGGGGCTGAACGAGCTCTGGGGTGGCCAGGCGCAGTGACCCCCAAACAGGCAGCGTCACAGGGCGGGCCCATGGCAGGCCCAAGAACCAAAGCAGAGTGCAAAGGTCCCTGCCCAGGTGGCAGCTCCTGGAAGGGCTTCCTTTCTGTATTTCTCTCACATTTGGGGCTTATTGTTTTGTTCCTGTTCCTGTTGGTTTTTACAAAGATGCTTTCTTTCTGTGATTAAACTCACTTCCATGGAGTGGATTCTGACGCACAGCAGCCCTACAGGACAGGGCAGAACTGCCCCTGGGGGACCCCAAATGGCCAATCTGTATGGGAGAAGAAAGCCTCGTCTTTCTCTCGAGGAGGGGCTGGTGGCTTTGAACTGCTGTCCTAGTGGTCAACAACCGAATGGTCAGCCTACTGCATCACCCAGGCTCCAAAGACTCAACTCAGAGGTCACCTATTCCCTGCCTCCTGCAGCTCCTGCTTTGTTCCAGGCTGGCGTCATCCCCAATAAGAAAAGTCACTCAATCCAGAAAGAGCCATCTGGGGTCACAACAGCTCCCATCTTCAGTGCTGTAGCTCTGAGTCCTGCTGGACTCAGAAGAGGTTGGCAGAGAGCGTTAACTCTTGGGAGAGGAGGGTTTTCACTCTAAGCAATGACCGCTATCAACAGAGCCCTGGTGGTGCAGAGGCTAAAGCGCTACACTGTTAGCCATTGTTCTAACCCACCAGCTGCGTGGGGGAGGGAGACTGGGACAGTCTGCTTCTGCACCGATGGCCAGCTCTCCTTGGTCCCGTGTGGTTGCTACTAGTCGGAATTGCCTGGAAAACAATGGGTTTGGTTTGGGGTGGTTTTTGGTCACTAGGCCTAGTGCTCAGCTCCGCACATGTGCCATCACCCTGACTCCTCACACAGCTTCAGCCCACAAGTCCCAGTCTACTCTCGGCTTTACAGAGGAGGAAGTTGCAGCCTGGGGCGAGAAATGTCAGAAACCTCACTCACTCCACGTCCGGCGAAACTTAAGCTATGGACGGAGGACAGTGTTCATTCGCTGCTCCCTGCAGCGGCCTCACTCCCTTTCTCAGGCTCCTGGCCCAGCAGCACCATCGTAGTGGGGGCTTCTGAGGGCCACACTCAGCAGCTCCGGTCACCGGTCGCCTCCCACCTCTGCCCACCTCTGCCTTTGACCCTTCGTCATCCCGGAGGACCCACTCTCTCAGCCTCCTTGGCACCACTGACACGAGAGGAACACTCTGGTGTGAGGGCTGTCCTGTGACACAGTCTCCACACATGCGCCACTGCCCCCTGGTGGAGAAGCTACTAAGCTCAGCTCAGGTGGGCTGAAACCCCTCCTCTCTTCTGGCCTCCGCGTTCCACTGAGGGCCAAGGGTGCCTGCCTTTCAGGGTAATGGTCCCTGGTGAAGAAACAGGGGCTCTGGAAAGCAGCTAATAAGTTTGAGTCACGCCCTCATGAGTTGGGGAGCTAGGTCTGAACGGGGGGTGCCAGCTGCCAAAGCTCAGCCCCTTAGAGGCTTTGTGGTCATGTTCCTCCGATGCTTAGGCTGCTGGATGACTCCCCAGGGACCCTACTGCTCTGAGGAGGATGGAGTGGCAGCCCCCATGCTAACAGCACACAGAAGGGGCCTCTCTTGGCCTTCACAGCATCCATCACCCAAAGCAGACAAACAAGCAACACGGCAGCCTGGCAGTCCGGCCTGGGTCCTTACAGAGGGAGGTCTCGTGACTGATGTTCTCAAAGAGGATGTTCAAGGTCTGCAGCAGCTGCACACACACGTAGCGCCCCGACTTCTGCCGCAGGATGTTCAAGAAGAAAACAAACATGTTCTTCTCTAGGAAGAAGCTGCAGAGAGAACAGGAGGTGGTCAGTCATCAGCTTCCCACCCAGGGCCATCCATCCGCTGGTGACTGTGGGCAGAGGTATAGAAGCTGCCCACCTCCAGAAGCAGCTGCAAAACAGTGATGTATGCCACCGGCCCTCGGTGCCCAGAGCCTCCCATTCCCACAAAGCCGGCCACCGTCTGAGCTCTCGATCGAGATCCGAGAACCTGGCCGAGTGTGGGAAGTGGCAGGCTGGGCTCCTGGCAGAAGAGAAAAAGCTCCTCACCCACAAATGAACGCAAGCTCACTGCTGTCTGCTGAGGCCGCATGTTTCCATCCAGGACTGGATTTCCTTAGGGTCACTCAGGGTTGAACGCAGTTCCCTCAAAAGACATGCTTAGGTCTTAAGTCTAAATACCTGGGTCTGAGCTTTTGACTGGAAATAGGGCCTTTGAAGATGTAATCAGGTAAAGGTGAGTCAGTCTAGCTTAGGGTGGACCCCATTCCAGTAATACCAGTGCCCTCAAGAAGAGAAGATACCTAGGGCTGGGTGCTACGGAGGCCAAGACTACATGGATGGGCCTGACACCAAGGGTCCGGTCCCCAAGGAGCGCAGGCCGTACAGCAGCGCAAAACTCTCTCTTTTTTTGTGGCTGTAAGTCTTCCCAGGAGCAGACGGCCTCAACTCTCTCTCCTGTGTAACGGAAGTAAGGAAGGGCTTGACAAACGAGAGGGCTGGGCCACAGGGGCACAGGAGCCTACACGACAAATCAGGAACAACCTACGGGAGAATTCGGTAATCACCCAAAGCATAAATAAACACCCACGAGTCCACACTGAGGTGAACAAAGAAACACATGGAAGAGATGATACCAATCTTCCAGCTCCAATTCCAGATAATACATGGGGAAGGCAAAAAGTTTGTGGGAAAATGGAATTAAAAGATGATGGAGTTTTTCTAAGAACTCTGTGAAGTCCCCCTTTCTATATATAGCTACTCCTCCCACCAGGAAAAACCAAATCCAAACCCACTGAGTCGATTCTGACGCAAACAAGGTAAAGCTTAATTTCCACCTGTACCCTCTCCCCTGAAAGTAAAAAAAAACCAAAACCCAAACTCACTGATAATGTGGCAGTTACATAATCTGTTGTCAACTTGGGACTATTAAGATGAGGGGGTGGAGTAGAGATACCAGGAGGGGAAGGGGAATGTGAGGGAGAAAGGGGGAACTGATCACAATGATCTACATATAACCTCCTCCCTGGGGGATGGACAACAGAAAAGTGGGTGAAGGAAGACATCACACAGAGTAAGACATGAAACAATAATAATAATTTATAAATTATCAAGGGTTCGTGAGGGAGGGAGGGAGGGAAGGTGGGGAAAAATGAAGAGCTGATACCAAGGCTCAAGTAGAAAGAAAATGTTTTGAGACTGATGATGGCAATAAATGTACAAATGTGCTTGACACAATGGGTGTATGTATGGATTGTGATAAGAGTTGTACGAGCCCCCAACAAAATGATTTATTAAAAAAAAAAAAGAGGTGGAGTTTAGCCTGTCAAGCAAGTCGCAGCTTGAAGAGCTCATTTGGAGATAAATAGCTCACTGGAGGCGGGACACACACTTTGCCTGCTTTGTCTCCCTGGAAGATATTCCTGTTGACAAGCCACATGGAGCTACACTGATGGAGCCAGAGCCCTGGAGCTGGAGGAGCCATGTGAAGACTCACGCCAGTGCTGAGATGCTTCCATCACCACTGGTCCACAAGACTTTCCACAGTGGCCTGTGATCTTCCCACAGTCAGCATCATTGCAGGTGTTGCCTGAGTCTGAAGAGGAATTGATAGACTGGTATGGCCTAATATTGGACTTATGGACTTGATCTGGACTGGATGTTTTCTCATTAAACAACTGTTCTTTTATATAAAGCTCTTTCTTTGGATTTGTTTCTCTAGTCTACGTGGACTAACACAGATAACAAGTCCATTCCTTTGATAGGGACCCTGTGGACAGAGTAAGCGCCCCATAGACTGTCAATCTTTATGGGGGTAGAAAGACTCATCCTTCTCCTGTAGAGATGCTGGTGGTTTTTAACCACTGACCTTGTGGAACCCACTACCGCACCAAGGCTCCTCCTGGGAAGGTTGCCTACACTGAGGTGACTCACTTTCATAGGATGGCGACAGGAAAGAGACAAACAGAGCAACTTCACCATGGGGACACGTGGCAGGCACCACCCTCACCCTGAGAGGAAGGCCACCGTCACCAGTGAGGCCTTATGGCCACCACGTCCCTGCTGTGATGTGCTAAAAGGACACTCTATGGTCTTCTTACCCCAGCCCTCAGGAGGACACCACCAGACCAACCCAGCCTGGGGGACCATCTCCGGAGACCTGTCCAGGACTCCTCAGGGGCAGGGAAGAGAGGGCTGCCACCACAGGCTGGGGAGACTGGTGAGAAGTGACGACTGACTCCAGTGTGCCCCTGACAGAGAGGACAGCTGGACGAGGGAGATCCAATGGGGGTCTAGGGTTTGGTTAACTGGTGGTGACATGCCCAGGTCAGCTTTTGAGTGGTGATGGAGATGCTAAACTTGGCGGGGGTGGGGGTGGGGTGGGGAGGGCAGTGACTGATCCATGGGAACTCTATATTACCCTCAGTGTTCCAGTTTTTCTCAGGATTCGGAGGGAATGAGAAAGTTCATGCTAGTAAAGCAGGACCCAGCTCCAGAGCATTTCCCAGGGCCTTCTAGTCCCATTTCTAAGGAACAATTCCTTGTGTTACTCATGTTTTCCTATGGGGCACCTGGCCAGAGTCACAGGAGGCATACATATTAAGGAGCCTGCACTTTCCATCTTAGGAAAGTTTACTGATGAAATAGAGAGCTATGGTCAAGGTGAGGGTCTCCTGGGAAGTGGCCATGATGGAAAACAGAACACCTTAATTGGTTGGCCATTTTTTAAAGTTTGAAAAGTGGTCTCAGTATATAGCATTGAGATTACAATATTTATAAGCTGCTTGGTGGGCATTATCACCCAACCCCAAATCCTTCTGTGTGTATACCTTGAGACAGGTCTGCCAGGGCTGTAGTCTGGGGCTCAATGCCGGCGCTTTTCTAACAGTCTAGTCGGGAGGGGACATTGGCGGTTCAGTGTACAATTCTCCCCACTTCCAAGCAGGAAACTCAGCTTCCTGGCCAACTGCACTGCAAGTGCAGCGCTCACCCATCTGTAGGTGGAGCGTCTGTGTTGTTTCGCTGCTGAACAGATTTCAGTGGAACATCCAGACTAGGAAGAAAGGCCTGGTGATCTACTTCTGAAAAAGAGCTAGTGAAAACCTAATCTGATCCACGTTGGATCACGGAGAGAGCACAAGACTGGGCAGCAGTTCATCCCCTGGCACGGAGCTGCCAACACAGGAGCCAACCAAAAGCAAACAACCAAAGGGACCTTCCCCCCCGTTACTGTTGTCAGCTTTCAGTGGCTGAGGACCTGCTCTGCACCCCGCACCAGGCAAGGCACGCCCTCCTGCCTCTAGTAATGATCCGGACTGTGCATTTGGGAAGGGCGGGAAGGAGGCACAAACCCCTCCACAGCCCAGTGTGCACTGGGGCTCTACCGCCAGGCAGCAGTTACCCTGAGCAAGTGAAACCATCTCACCAACTCCCCGCTCCCTCTTCCTCTCTCCCTCTCCCTCTCCCGCCTCTCTCTCCTCCCCTCCCCCCCTCCTCCTCCATGAAGTGGGAAAGCAATTGAATGCCCCTGGCCTGGGCTGCTGGGGACATACTAAGACATATGTTTGAGACGTGGATAGCTCTGAGATGCCCCAAGGCAGTGTCCTCACCAGCCACTTAAACCAAGGGGCCCAGGGCCTTCTTGCCTTTCATCTCCTGGACTGCCGGGACAATCACCAGGGACACTTTCAGCTGTTTGGGGGGCTCATTCAAAACATTTCGGTAAATGTCTGTGCCAGACCCAACCAGCGTTTCCCACCCAGTGTCAGCAAGATGCAGGGGCACGTGTAGAAAAAGTAGTCCTGAGAAGAAGAAGAATGTTTTAAAAGCCATACTCGAAGACAGAGCTGTCATTCTGATCGCCCCAGATCAGGATCTCGGTGATGGAGCGGATGGTCTCCACGAGCAGGTTCCGGTTCTGTTCCGTGACTGTGGTGTTTTTGGTCAGAACGTGGTACAAATACCTAGGAGCAAAGGAGAAAGAAGTGGAAGATCACCGACCGGCATGAACACCAGGCTCACTGACGGCCAGCAGGGTTTGGGGGACAACACACTGCTTTATCAGAGTCGATGGTTATTTCCAACTCAGCGACCTCACAGGCCAGAGCGGAGCTACCCCGTGACGTTTCCGA